ATTTGAATAGTTTGCCGAGAGGAAGCGGTTCTGGCTCTGGATATGGTTCCGGATATGGCTCTGGATAAGCCTCTGGATATGGCTCTGGGTATGGCTCTGGGTACGGTTCTGGCACTGGTTCGGGGCTGGGGATGGGTGCGGCGAGGAGCGGTACAATGACCATGGCGAGAAGAGCGACAATAATTCGGTTGAACAACATCTTGTATTATAGTGAATTATAGAATTTTGGATAGTTCTGGTTTGCGAATTGCGGTTTGGACTGAAATATCAGTTCAGCTTCGCGGTCTATCACCAAAACTCGGAGAGGAAACAGACATACCGAGGACACCAGGCCTTCTATGAGAAATAGAATAAGTTTAAATTTTTTGAAAGAAGATGTAAACCGACCAGCGAAAGAAAAGGGCTGATGAGGAATATGCGTCAATTCCTGACTACCCTTTATACCTTTCCCGGCAGTCATTGATAGCATTTACACTTACAGTAGTCTTTGGAAGACTACATGGTGATGAGAGGCCAGCCTTCCTCCTGGTATATACTGTGGCAGACCGTACAGACAAGGGGATAATATCTAAGAACGTATTCCCATAGGACTTGTTTATGCTATTGATCCCCTTGGCTACATCGCGAGCCTGGGATAGCCCCTGGCTTCTCTTATTTCCATGTCGGTGCTGCTGAATTCGGGACGGTACCGTGAGAGAAGAGCTGATCGACAGGTTGACGCTGTTGTCTTCGCGCTATATATGGGCATCCTGGGATCTATAGTGAGTCTATGTCGACGAAGCATCCGAATCCCAAGCTGCCAACCGGTTCGTACTTTAGAAGGCATGAGGATTTATCAGAAAACAAACTGTCTGATAGATTACGTGGGGTTCTTGATTGAGCTTCACATATACCAAATATGACTTCTCCATGACCAGTATCTCTTCCTCTTTGCGCTATTGACTTTGGGTTGAGCTGGCTGATTCGGTCGTCTGAGATTCGCCGCACCTCTTGGTCATTTCCTCCCTTGCCTCACTAGATATAACTTTCTTCCCTCGACTTTCCAATCATTCGACTGTTTTTTCGTCGTCTCTAAGGTCGGTCTTGCAACCAACGAGGATGTATGGGACTAATTTCTGGTACCCATCGGTTCTCAACATTCTCAAGACTTTCTGGGTTGTCTACTGAGAATGATAAGGGTATCTTGGATATGACTCGGATCGTGTCTCGTCCCATTCTTCTAATAGTTCGACGCAACGCAATGTCCGTTCGAGTTCTTGACCGCAAGCTCGTCGTGAATGAAAGCCAGATATTCCTCACTGTGATGTGGAGAATAAATTTAATTGATTATTGTAGCCATTCGTTTGGTATTAAGATTCAACTAATAGGAGGCGACCAGCAGATTGTTTGTGCGCCAAACAACGCGCAACCATGGCCTTGACCTCCACCTCGCTCTAGCCAAAGCCTTATCGTGAGCCGGTAGAATCTACGCAGCATAATCGCGAAGGGTCATCTCAGGTTGAACTTGTGAACATGTATTTCGAAACCCCTTCATTTTCCCAAAGTTCTCCTCAATTTCACAAGAGTCTACTCCAAGTTTGAACCAGATCTCTTCCACGTCTGCCCCATTCTCGATACAAGTGGCACTATAGAGTTCAATCGAGCAATTTCAAGAAGTTGTGTGATATCTGGATCAGTTCTGTCAGTATCACAAGAAAGATGAAAGAGGAAACCAAGGCTGAAAATCTGACACCCGGACCGCCTTTCCGGGGAATTGAATCCAAACCTTTATGATAAAATGATCGGATATCGGCCCGTCAAGGCGAGGATGAGGAGTGCGGTTACTGCTCGCAAGAAAGTCGCTATGTCGTACACCGGCCCCGGACAAAGAGTAGCAACGAGCCTACTGGAACTTTCCAACCACCTGGTCACTAATCAACCGTTCCTGGCGTTGGCATATGGATCTAGAAGTCTCGATACCGGCTTGATTATGCATCTAGGCTGAGACAGAGGTGCGTAAAAGTAACTCCTGGATATATTCCTGCATCTGATACTATATGTTTGCAATTTTTTCGTATCGCCATCATCATATGCGTACCTGCCCCGTGCTTTTTTTGATTGGTCTCCTCGGTCACGCGATTATAGGCAGTGCTCTCCCTTGAAAGGCGGGGCCCCAAGGAACCTCTTCAATTGGTCCCGACCTAGTTAATCATGCCAAACTAAAGTTAATTGGCTATCCCTCAATGCGGGGGTGGGGTGTGTGCTTCGCGATGGAACAACCGGAAACGTCGACAACGTGACCCTCCTCACCAGTAGGTCACCAGGTCACCAAGAGGACTTGGAGAGGATGTTAACTTTCACGTTCGCCGATTTCAAGACGGCCCATAGATCACTCGCTCACCCTTGTTTATTGCGCAATCTTCGGTGCGGTATCCGAGGTTGAGGACTTCGAAATCGAGGGACCGAGGATTGAATCGCCGCAGTTCTCCGCGACCAACTCCTTAAGTACTATATTTAAAGCCGACATGAACAAGTACCTCCCTCATCCCCCCATCTATCCAACATGAGATACCTCTATCTCATACCCACTCTCTTTGCAACTCTTTGCAAAGCCGCGACTCTGAATCACGTCGATACCCTAGGCTTCTCGGCCAGTGGCTCGAACCTCCAGCTTGGTGGTACTGGGCTTGCTCCTACTATCCGGCTCGATAGCAATGACTGGCCAGGGGTCATTCGTGCAGCAGGTGACGTTGCTCTCGATTTCGGACGAGTACTTGGGACGAATGGAACCGTTCTGCTCACCAACTCCACTTCGTCGTCGACCAGTGCTGCAGTTATCATCGCAGGGACGATCGGCAAGTCGAGCCTTATCGATGCCCTCATCTCGAGTTCCAAAATCGACGTCTCCGCTATCAAAGGAAAATGGGAATCCTATTCCTCGCAAGTAGTCTCTCAACCAATGTCTGGTGTGTCGTCCGCACTCGTCATCGCGGGTAGTGACAAACGAGGAACTATATACGGTCTCTACGACATCTCCGAACAAATTGGAGTCTCCCCTTGGTATTGGTGGGCAGATGTACCGCCAAAGACGAAGACTGGTGTATGGGCTCTTCCTGTCACAAAGATTCAAGGACCTCCATCAGTGCAATATCGAGGAATCTTTCTGAACGACGAAGCGCCTGCTCTATCAAACTGGGTGACAGCAAACTATCCGAATGGCCAGTACGGTGCGGGATACAATGCCAACTTTTATGCCAAAGTCTTTGAGCTGCTCTTACGCCTTCGAGCCAATTATTTGTGGCCAGCTATGTGGGACAATATGTTCTACGTGGACGACAGTACGAGTGGCCCACTTGCCGACAGATATGGTATCGTTATGGGCACAAGCCATACAGAACCGATGGCGCGGGCGACAAAGGAACAGGGCTTATTCAATAGCGGTACATGGGACTGGACCACCAATAAAGCAAACGTCAAAACCTTTATGCAACAGGGGGTAACTCGAGCCAAATCGTGGGAGACGCTTTGGACGTTGGGCATGCGCGGTGAACACGATACGGGAAATCCAAATATAACCGCCGCGTCCCTGACGGAAATAATCTCGTACCAACAATCGATTCTCAAGAGTACCCTAGGTGTTAGTGATCTATCGAAGGTGCCAGAAATGTGGTGTTTATACAAGGTTCGCACCCTCTTATGGCCTTAGTCTCGGAGCTTACTTGCAGTCTTCCAGGAAGTCGCCGCGTTTTATCAGCAAGGGATGACCGTGCCAGGTGATGTTACCCTCCTTTGGACAGACGACAACGTCGGCAACGTCCTACGGCTTCCCCTTTCCAATGAGACCTCTCGAATTGGAGGCGCTGGCATGTACTACCACTTTGACTATGTTGGGTCCCCCAGAAATTACAAGTGGATCAACACGATTCAGCTAGTCAAAACATGGGAGCAGATGCATCTTGCATATGAACGTCAGGCGCGAAAGATTTGGATCGTCAACGTCGGAGATCTCAAACCTCTGGTGCGCTTCTGATCATGTCATGCGAGATACCAGCCCTAACTCTGTTTTGCAGGAAATTCCCATCACCCACTTCTTCGATATGGCGTACAATATGCAGTCTTTCTCGTCCCCTGATAGCACTGCAAAGTGGTTAAAAGTCTGGGCGGCCGGAGAGTTCAACTCTCGTATCGCCGACGCAACCGCCGCTGTAATCACAACCTATGGAAAGCTGATCGCTAGGAGGAAATATGAACTCCTGAGTACCAGTCCTTTCGCTCTGAGTGTAGGCAACTACGATGAGGCAGAGACTGTTCTTCGAGAGTGGACGACCCTCTTGAATACAACTCAG